TCACTTAGACATCTTAAAGAGGGTAGCATTATGGCTTGTACCCGTTTTTATGGTGGTTGGCAATTTTCAATTTCCACCCTTAGGACCTCTCAATAGCTTCTGCATCGCAACCCACCTGTTCGGGGACCCCATACACACGGTGTATAGTTTGCTAGTCAAACTTGAGGTTTCGCGAAGGATACACGCGCACTGGGTCGATTCCCCGCCGCCCATTAGGGATGGTGAACTCTACGAGAACGAAAGCCAGCGGAGGAGATCACTTCGAGATATTGGTACGGTCAATGTGCTCTTCGATGAATGGAACTACGGCGCTATTGGAGTGTACCCTCAAATGAGGGGGCTATTTGACCGACTGGGGGGCGAGAGGAGGACAAACTTTATTGCCGCTTGTAGGGAGGCTGCTCATAGACTGTCCGATTCCCGGGTGAACGATTCCCTCAGAACCTGGCTAGCAATAGGCGGATATATAGTAGGCGTCATAGCCGCCTTTCTGAAAACGCTCGAATCCGGAGCATCCAATCGCACAGCCCATACGATAGCATTTGCTCTGCTGTATTCATGGCTTATTCCAGCAGTCGTGATAAGTGCAAGTGTTGGTGGATTCGCCAGCACACGAGCCGGGAGACGGGTGATTAAAGAGATCCAAGACGAACTGCAGGACGACTGGAAGATTGCAGACCCAGCCGACGTTACATACCTCTCAACCGTCAGGCTTCCGTTCTCGCCCCGCCCCGTACTCAAGGACTTTACAACGTTGGAAGAATCATTCAGCTTCTTCGGGAGCTACAGTTTCCGTCATAACACGAGTCTAAAATTCCCCACCCCAAGCTCACTAGAAACCAAGCGAACACACTCCTGGAACCGACCGAATTGGCTCCTCCTACTCTTATCCTGCATCCCCGTCATCACCGCAACCTTCACCGCCGTCCTTCTAAGTTGGATGCACCCTCCCGATGGCCTAGGCTGCCGTTCAGTAACGCAAATCACCTTCTGCATAACCTGGATCCTAAGCGCTCTCTTCACAAAACTTACCAGCAGCTTCTTCTCCGGGAAATACCACTTCCGCCTGATCATCGTGAAGGACCTGATCCTCGCAATACTACAAGTCGGCTTCATGGTATCCGCTTTCGTAGGGTACTACAATAGCTGTTTATGCTGGTCGAACTACTTCTCACTCACTCGCCGGGGGGCAGCCTACATGGAAGTGGTCCAGGACAAGGCGCTGAAGGAGATGGTGAAGATGAAGTGGCCAGTCATCGTCGTCGTGGGATTGTCGGCGCAGGGCATATTGTTACTAATAATGTGCCTCTGCTCAGCCAAGGGACTGGGTATATACGAGAGGACTGAAGCAGAGCAAACGCAGGTTTTCAGGGAGTTAATGGAGCACGAGAAGAGGATCACCAGGAAGTGCAGTATTTCCAGCTCGGAAATGGGTGACGAGAAGGGTCGGAAGGGGAGTTTTGGGGAGGTGAATAATGGGAAGCTGTTTTTCGCACCGGTGTTGATGAGGTTGGGAACACTGGGACAGTAGTTTTGTGTGGTAGTGTCTCGGTCAAGTGGACGGATGAGTTGACGAGTTAATGTGTTATGAATTATGATGAGAAATTTTTTGGGATACTTTATCTATTCTATCATTAAATTTTACCGTTATCCACCCCAGCTACTGGTATTGTCCTTAAACCCTGTCTGCAAAAAACAAGGGGAATACTACTTCTTGGTTACCACCATACTGCCGGAGCTGTGAACGGCTACGCTCCGATTGAGGCCAGAGGTTGTGGTCTCGATAGGATAGGCGTGGAGTGGGTTCCATCACGCATTTAAGCCCAATGGTTTGTACCGTATCCTAAGAACAACACCCCCAGGTCTCCCGCAACACCGCAGTTATAGCCAGTACCGGTACGGTAGAACAGGTGCTTCCCACCACTACTCCTGGAGCTCTTGCTACCTACTTTACTTGTAGAGTATATATTAGTGACTTACCCACGCACAGTAAAAACCCTTATAATTCTCCACCTCCGCAAGCTCTATAATCTCCGGATTCTGAGTCGGAAGGCCCGGAGAGGGATTAGAATTTTCCTAACATGATCAGATCCGCCCACGGGATGTGCCTATAGTAGCCTGATGCTGGAGTGACGGAGATTAGAGGCCCGGCGGAGATAGTGAATTATAAGTGTTACAGTACCATACTCACCTATCCCATTCGCATGCCGGCAAAGTACGGTACGGTACGGGGCCGTGCAAGCAGTTCACATCACGACTCCATAAACCGACAAGACCCTCCGGGTGTAGCCCAGCATGTCTCCCAGCTCCTGGCAGCTATAGTGCCACTCCCGCGCCCAAATTTACTCGCGCTGGTACTGTACCCGGGCACTGGACAGCGCAGGGTATCCAAAAATCAGCCTCGTCCACTCTTTTTTTCTTCTTTCTCCCGGTACCCGGCGGTGCGTGCGAAGAGGTTAACGCACTATCGTAAATTCGTATGTGTTTACATTTTTCACGAAGCCCATGGAATCAAAGAGGAAGCGGGTTTGAGTAGTTCGTAAAAGGTTCTCCAGAAACTTTTATTGCCGGGGAGGGTTCGCTGTTGGATTTGGGTGCGATGTGGGCCGGTCGATTCTACTCGTAGACAGTCGGCATCGTAATAGTGGAAGGTAAATGACTAGCACCCGTGCACGCCGTGCTGGAATGCAAAGCTCTTCGTCCGTATGCCGAATTTCACGGAATTCTAGCTCCAAAGATGGAGGAATATCATACTTGGCTTGAAGGGGTTTGGATGAGGTCTTCCGGTAGTGACCTGGCCAATAGAGGATTCCGACACTGAGGACCGGAGGGGAATGTGCCCAAGTAGGGGGCGCTATTCACCTTTTAGGTAGACGGCGGTCTCGATCGTAATTCCGCCGATCATGCTCGAGTACGATGGAAGGGATATGCACGGCCTAACAGTATTGCGGTTGAGATAAGCTCAGCCTAACTAGGGAGGAAGTGTGTAACACTGGACACAGACCGGCTTGAGTGCAAATTGACTCCTGCCCCCGAGCCAAGAATTGGCGCCCCTTTTGGAATAGCGCCCGTGGACCCATAAAAAATAGCGCTGAGGCTGCTACCTAAAGGAGCGCATACACCGCCACCATGTACTTTACTGAGTAGAGATCAATAACATCATGGAACTTGATAGCGGCACTTTCCTCCCTTGGACTGGTTGACTCTATCAAGCAATACATACCACCTAGTTTCCCCACTACTGCCAATAAAATTATACTGTACCATAAGAGCCCCCCACGTAGCTCCATCACGGCCTAGCCCCCTCTATATCAGGTGAATTTAGCGGCCAGTGAGGAAAACAGCTAACTCCTCGTAAGATTCAATATCATATGTGTGATATGATCACTCTCACAAGATACCAGTATCTTGCACCACTGTCACAGCCTCCCAAACAGCTCGAACACTATACAGTGTCCCCCGGCCATATTCCAAAATAGGTGCCAATTCTTGGCCTGGAAACACGAGTACTATGATAGTGCAAATACTTGTACCAAGACACGTTAATGCCAAAGCTTACCAAAAGCACAAATACCCGGTGCCAGGGCGTCCGGACGACTCTTAGATCTAGGGGCAGGTTTTGTATGTTGCGGATATATGCAGCCCCACTGTAACTATCCAGTGACAGATAAGTTACCCCTAGTAAGAAGTAGCCAGGTCAGCCCGAGAGGCATAACGTCACCCGTAGACGTCTTGGTGTCATATGGGAGTTGGTCTGGAATCTATTGCTGGGCCAATTTTCAATCCAGTATACCATACTATAAAAGTACCGTACCTTCCACGTGTGACAGAGCTTAAGCAAAACAATCGCTTAACCATTCCTGGGTATTTATGGGATCATTTATAGAGACTACTAACAGAGTTGGGCTTTGGCACCCCTCTCCGACGAACGCATCATGAGCGATTCGCGAAGATCACTGCTCACTCTATAACTTACTGGGGGGGTAAACTCTATCTGATCGCAGATTCTACCAGTTTTCCAGAATTATTTGGCGGACTTAATAGACCATATCTGAGAGCTCTCTATCCTCTAGTTTCCCCCTCCGCCTTCTAGAAATATGGTAGGCCAGAACAAATACTACAAGTTAACCATCTCCTCCCACCAGTTTTTTGTTGTTAGGGTGTGGAAACGCATTTTTTTTTCTTAATGATATACTGTCTGGTCACTAGGATGAGGTGGTAGAGTGCTTGTACAGCATCTACCAATAGAATAGCTCATAAGTAGTCACTCGGCGACAGTCATGAATGCAAGACTTTGTCTATGTATGATAGTGAGTGGGTGCCAGGATTTTCGTGGTGGTGCGATTTGTGCGAGCCACCAGTCCTAGTAAATCTGGAATAGGAGGAAAGAGAGGTTTTTGAGCGGAATAATGCACCGTAGATACCCACTTGGGTTTTCGTGCTGACGGATTCCTTCCCCTTCGCTCAGGTATCATATCATGCCGCCTCACCTGCGGGCTCTACCGCCCACTTCGGGATCCTAGTGCTTGCGGTATAATTCTTGGAGCTTGTTTTTTCTTCTTCTCTCTCAAGCATTGGCCGTGTACCTTCGGGTTAAGTCAACCGCGGGAGTATCATATTCAATCTGATGCACTCCCCAAAGAATTAGGGCATTACTACGACTACTCCGGCACTTGGGCAGATGGTGTGCATTTTCCCGTGTCCGCGAAAGTACTCTAAGCGAATTTCAACAGAACAGGAGTGTAACCCTGTTAAGGATGGCACCGTGAACAGGCCAGAAAGCTTCACTTGGATCTTGCATCATTTAACATCACTCACTCCTTCTCCCCTCCCTTCTGGCTATATGTTCCATATCCATAACACTACCATGCCTACTGTGATACCTCTCTCTTTACCAGGTATCATAACCAAGCGTAAGGGCAACGAGATAAAGTGATGGAGTTGAGTTCTAGGGTACAGTACAACACCCGCCAAGTGATATTCGAACCTCATAACCAAACAAAACCACGATGCCGCGGCGATAACATCATAACCCGCGAACTCACACGACACGACACGTAGACATACTTAGGAAGTGTGCAATTTCCGTACAGAGGAAATAAACAAATATGCAAACAAGCAACTCCAACCCCCTCCCAACCGCCATACACGGTATGATACCCAGCGGAAAGAGCCTCGTAAAAACCAACTGGCGACCCTACTTATCAAGCACGATACAATATGACCATGAGTCGATCGCAGGACATCCCAAAACCCGATCCTAAGTGCTCAAAAAAGGAACGTATTAAAAGAAGAACAACACTAGACAATTGGCAAATCAAAAAGTAATGGTGCCGGTAAGTTAGACATGGGGAGTATTTACATGTAAGTCAAGTTTAAGCCAAAAGAGCCAACGACGCGACAATGAAAGTACTGATATAGCTAAGCTGCGGTGAGACAACTCTTGCAAGAAGCAATAAATAAGAATAAATAAGAAAGGAGAAAGGAGTGGGCGTAGAATAGGTGTTGAGATATCCTTCGTGTCGTTACCCGTCGAGTCGGTCGGGCTAGCTAGCTAGCTAGCCCACTACACTAACACTTGCAACGCCGAAAGCAATCTTTGGTACAAACCAAAACAAACCAAGAGCAACCGGGGGAAAGCACAAAACCAGCAATTAACCGCCTAACACAGCATGCCCCCTGACCTCCTCGCAATCAGCTTCTTCTGCCTCCGCCCGCTAACAGTAACCGGCCAAGGCACATTCGAGCCAATAATAATCTGCAAGGCATCCTTACTCGCCAGATGTTTCGCTTCAAGCTTCGTGCTCGCAACGGCACTGGCGATATCTGCGCCATTCATATTTATCGTCGCGCACCACTGAATAGCGGCACCCTGGCAGCCGTTATCTGTGAAATTGAAGCTGGGCTGCGGGAGCTTGCACTTTGCCGCGTACTCCATCAGTCGCGAGGTGTAGACCGAGACGTGTTGTCTGCGTAGTTTCGCTGCGCCTGAGTCGGTAGTGGCGGCGGTTTGGAGGATTGGGTACACTTTTTGCTGCTGTTGTGCTGCCAGGGAGGAGGAGGGGGCGGTTGAGACGGGGGAGATGATGGGTGTTGGCGGGAGGTGCGGGTTCGCGGCTATGTATTTGTCATGGTGGGATTTGTATGCCTCTGCGTAGGGTCTCAAGAGCTGGCAGAAGGTTCCGCTTATCGTGGGGAAGCCGTCGACTCCTAGTTCACGTTGGATCGCACCGACGTATGCTGTGAAGAGGCCGGATAGGATGTGGTCTGATTCGCCGGCCGGGTAGGTTAGCGAGATGTGGTTATGCAGGCCGAGGCGGCGGCTCAGGTGGGCGTAGAAGGTCTTGTCTTCGAGGGCTTGTCGGATGTCCTAAAAGTGATTTTTACTGTATTTAGTGAATGCCCAGTACCCGGTATCACGTGACAGTCATAGGTGATGTTGGGTGGGGGAATTCACATTCAACACATTCTTCTTACTTGTCGGGAACATGGATGCCAGCAGGACCGTGGTTAGCCCTCGTAGGACTGAACCTCCAACCCACGTCAACGCCTCAAAGGTGTCTCGCTGTTCTGGGCTGCTCGCAAACGATCGCTCATGCACGACTGATGCGTACAAGAGTTGCTCCAGCTCCTTGCTGCTGAAGTCGTAGCGTGCGATGGGAGTGTTGAATTGCGGAATGGGGATAGGGGCGTACCAGGGAGCCGGGGCCGACATCGCGAGGGGTGGAAGTGATGTGAGTAGTTCGTTGAAATCAAAAGAGTGTGGTGCGTAGCCGCTATCGTTACCTTTGGTGGAAGCCGTGATGGCGGTATGGTGAGCAGATGGCGGTGTTATCCCTTCGCTCCTATCCTATTCTCTCCCGAGGATGGGTACGGTAGTAGAGCTCGGTCTAACAGCTTCAGAAAGAAGTTTGAAGGAGTGAGTGAAGGAGTGGGTAAATGGGGGAAGGTGGGGGGGGTGAAGAAGAGGAGGAAGGGTGCGATTTGAGGAGAGTTGGCCTGATGGAGGAGGGAGCAAGTGGATAATGGGAGAATGAGTGAGGGGGTGGCAGTCGCTCTTCTTCCTTTCTCCTTATTCAATTCGGATTCCCTCTCTTTCCTCCCCCCTCTCTTTCATCTGCTAGCTTCTCCTCCCTTCAAAAGACTGTACAGTAGGAGATTGTACGGTGTTTCGTACAATGCGGTAAATGGTACAGTACTGTACTCGTCCTTTTGTATTCCTCCTCCTTCACCAACTTAAACCACAGGGAATTAAAATGTCACCCCCCCGTTTTCCCCTCACACCCCACAAAGCACAAATATAGCGAGTGAGCTACACGAAGCAGTATCCAACTACACTTTCCCGACACTCCACTTCTCTCGCATATGAATTTGGTTGCCCCTACAAGTATGAATAGCCACTTCCTTCCCCCTCTTCAGGCATTCAATTCGACACAATTAAGGCCTCTCATCGCCCCTCACCACCAAAACAAATCCCTGCTCCCGATCGCTTACTCACCACCCTATGATACTAGTACTTGACAAGTCAGTTCCCCCTCCTCATCTCAACGCTCTTTCTTCGACTCGCACAGGCAACACCCTACTCACCTCCCTCTCCAACCGGGTCAAGTTCCCAAGTTCTACCTTATTGCGCTCCCGGTATCTCATCCCGCAGGTACAGTACCAAGAGATACCCGACTGAATCGAGAGGCACCAGACAAGTAGCAAAAAAAAAGGGGGGGTAAAAATAAAAAATAGCCACCAAGTTATCGGAATGATGATGATTACCATGACAACAAACGAGTTAATCTTAGAGCACACGAATTGGACCTTAGACTGCGCGAATGTGACATGGGGAATCTCGGATAATCGGAAGTTTGCTTGGATTCAGGTTGCTCTGCCACGAGTGGCCATTTCTCACGGTCGCTCCACTTGAACTCGCTTCCCCCAATCTCCGTCCTTATTCGGAGACAGAACGCCCCGAGAAGGGATCATGGTTTCCAGAAACGGTATATCTTGGCTAAGCTGAATTTGCTCGATTCCATTAACTGGCACTCATTATTTTATTAATCTACTTTGCAAAAACCCACTAGTTGGTATGGTGATTTCCTTTTCTTATGATACCGGTAGCTCGATAGTAGGCTTGATGAGCTATTGGGGTACGCTGATGGATCCACAGAAATTGGCGGTTAGGTTGACCGTATAGTGTGATCACGATGTTCTGGGTTCTGTACTGTACTGTACTCGTAGGCAGGCGCACAGGTGCAGCAAAGTACTGAACAAGTATCGTGTACTGTACCGGTACTGTACAGTACAGTGCATGTTGTGAGAATGAATGACAGACCCCCGATCGCCGGTGGCCCCTAGCTATGGGATCACGGGATCACGACCCCCGCGTGGCTAATCGGCGATGGTTGATGCTGTCCTGCCCATTCGCCGTTTCCGGTTGAGGCACAAAGGAAAACAAGGATACCAAATGGCTCCCCAGCATAACTTCAAGCGATACTGGTCGCGATTGTTTTCATGCTCCTGACCTCGTACTTGTATCAGGATTCGCGTCTCAGTTTTTAGGCGCTGAGGTAAAGAATGCTTCCAGAATCTTGAAGACTGATACCGTGGATACTTAAAGTGAGACCTCAGGGCCGGAGTCCGGAAAAGGATAGCGGAGTGACGGTGAGTATGCTGTTCTTGCGGTTATGTGTATTCCACTTGGTTGTGTGGGTTGGCACTGCTTAGGCCTTGTGAATATACGGGTACAGTACTGTACTTGTAGATTGAATCCAGTGTTGTGGTGACTCCATGAAATGCCTTGCTTCTCGGAGCCGCAAGACGGATGATGATAGATTCACAAAGAACTCTTCTTGAGGCAGCCCCCGGCTTGCTGAGTATCGTACCATTCACGCTAGGGATACCCAAACCCAAAAGTCTTGGTTGATTGGGCCTTTGTGTTTCCGGCATCTTAACAAAGTTGAGATACACGAGCATCATATTGTACTTGTACTGTATTTACCTTCAGACCTGATCACCTGCCCCGCCCCATTCCTGGAAGCAAAACCACCCGGCACTCTAACTAGCAAATCTAAATTGATCCCGTCCATCCTACAGATTATAAAAGCCCTTATCATACTAGGCGAGCACCTTCTGCTACACTTTCCGCCAAAAAATAACCACTCAACCCTCAAGACCGGAAATCAACCGGGCACTTGTCTCAATTCTTAAAACCTCTCCTATGTAGAAGTTCGCATATTCCTATTTTCTCCCCCTTTCTTTGCCCGGCAGCCCAAATAATGCTCCCCCCCCCAAAAAAAAAGCTCCCCATCTAAGCCGCCGAGTGTAATAGAATCAACCACCACCATCTCTACCCCTCGCGCGGTGTTATACCCCAACACGTCCTTCGGGGTAGACTCCCGTGCCTACCCCCGCCTCCCTATTACCCCACCACGCAATCACGCAGTCACATGACCATGATACCCCGATACCCATACCACAAACTCTATCCGGGGTACAGTACAGTATCACCCTCCCCTGTTTGGTGTGCTATGAATGCCATTTCTGTGCGTTTTGACCGAATTTAAGCCCCAAATAGGGGCGGGTATGAAGCGACCACTTGTGAGCGTACTAGTGGTATCGTATCGCATGTGTTGTATTGTATTGTATTATATTGGTTTTTTTTTTTTTTTTTTTTTTGCGTTGTGCCGGGTGAGTGAATAAAAGTTAGGACGGGGGAGGGGGAAGACGTGGAAGGCAGGGTGTAATATTCTACTCCGTGGTTCCCAGTAAATGGGTTTGGCAATCCGAACATGTGTGTGGATCGAGTGTGGAGTTGTATCCCCCCTGCACGCAAGGCTTCTTTCATGGAATCATGGGATATCACTCACATTCCCATGCTCCCTCCTGTTGAAACATACTTCTCGCACTACTGCAGTGTTACTCCTACTACTGATACTTTCTCCTTGCATTAAACCTGATGGCGCATCCAGACCTCCTGGACTATTGAAGATACCTCCTTGCCCTTCTCACACACCTCTTTTCTCTATTATTGTTATCGCTCGCTCAAGCTACTTGTCTTGCTCCAAAATGGTAGATATTCAGGGTCTTCAGCTCTTCCCTTTGAAAGTGTTAAGCATTCAAATTTCTCAAGCAATTGATCACTTCTTCATATTTCATATCATCGTTCTATCCAATATTCTCACAACACCTCCCCTCCCTGCCTCGAGCGAGCGCGCTTAGTAGGCCGGCCTGATCTGCTAGGGTAGCTGGGTTGTGCGCAAATAATTATTCTAGGGCTTGCTGTGTTATCTCTTTTCATATGTTTTCGGGGACATGGACTATCATTGCTGACACGTGGGGCGCAAAGGGTGAGTGGTATCATCATAATATATTATCATACAATGGCTGGCCTAAAAAGATGGTTTAATGTTTTGGTGCATTTTCCTCCAATGGTTGTTGCCTAGGCCACAGTCGAGATTTAGGCCTTCCTTATCTACCGTTAAATCTTCCTATTGGAATGTGTACGAAATCCGTGAACGGACGGAAAATGAGATGGCACTACTCCTGGTTTCGGGGACGTGGTATCATAAATGGTTTTGTCCGATGTTTATTTTCATAAAGTGCAAGAAGCGCAGAACATGCAGCGATGCTGCTGTTCCATGCAACACTTCTGACTCTTAGAGAAAAGGATATAAAATGGGTTTGGAGAATCCCTGTTCAAGTCCTGCCAACGCTGAGTTTCTCTCCAAGTTCATCTTCAATCCGTCGCACTGCATCACTTTACTGGGCATGTTTTCTTTGGCCGAGATAGAAAAGAGGAAAATTCAAACACTGTACTCTTAGTTGGATATGATCTGTGGTTTGGGTGTGGCATGTGTGCACAGCTTCCCGTACCCGAGTATTAACTCTTGTCATGCGTTATCTCTATTATGCCACGGGCATCCCCATGGATCGCGACATCAGCCTAGGATAGGTTTAACTTGGCAGGTTGGTGAGGTCTGCCACGGCCAAATGGCTCTGGTTATGCCGTGTTAGGAAATCACTAATCATTTTCAAGGACGACCTAACTGAGAAAGCGAATCTCAAGAGTTAATACTCGGGTATTGTACGGTATTGCAGGAATAATAAGATGTGCCTGGTGGATGGAGTTTTTATTTTTGGGGGTGGGTTGGTGTCGCGATTTGCTTGCTGATAGTGGGATATAAGGTAGTGGTGGTGGGTGGGTGCTGGGTATAGTATCTTCCCAACTACGGAAAGACAGGTCCCGGTCGCCAAGCATGTTTCCGGTCCTTCCATCGGTAGGCACCAGTGGACTCGGGGTAGGTACATCGGTGACCGGACAGACAGGGATTAATAAATCTATGTATCGTCCATACCCAAGTAGGACCGAATATTCGCAATCCCGTGGTGTCAAACCTCTACCAAACAACTGTGACAAAAAGGATCTCATGTTCTACTGCGATTGAACACTAATCCCATACATACTTCCGTTTCTAATCAAAAAATGGAAAATATTGTATCATATTACTATCCGCCATCTGCAGGCCCTATCTAACCCCCACCCCTTCCTCCTCCCCGCCCGCAGTCACTTCAACTTACTCCCCCTCCTCCCCACCCACCACCAATCCAATCTCCAGCCTTGGCAGAAACCACCTAGCCCTCTCGGGCTGCGAAAGTACCACCTCCTTCGCCCCGGCCTCAACCAACAGTTCTGCAATCCCCCGAAACTCATAAGTGCTGGCGTACCACAGGGGCGTAAACCCATTAACATCCAGCGGATCCACCTGCACTCCTAGCTCCAACAAGACACGCACCGACCTCTCCAGCCCCCTCACTGTCGCCGCATGCAATGGCGTATGTCCCGAGACATCCTTAGCTTCCAAGTCCGCGCCCGCAGCAATTAACGTCGCGACTGTATCCTCAAAAGCCACGCTGTTATGAGCGCGACGTGATGCGGTCCACCATCGCTTCCCGCGGTCCCAGAAGACTTCATAACCGTGTGCTATTGCCTCATGAAGTGGGGTGCGGGATTCACTGCCGTAGTGGTAGGTGAGGGACTGGCCGGCGGAGAGGCAGTGGGAGACTTGTTTGCTGTACCCGTGCTTTGAGAACCAGGTTAGGGCGGGGGTTGTGGCGTTTACAGGTTCGAGGGAGAGGGTGCGGAGGTGGGGGGTGAAGAGGAGGTTGA